GGATTTCAAACCCAAGTCTATCTGGCTTTTGGAACACATTCACTGGTCTGCACAGTAGCACCAACTGCCTTTCACTACCATTGACCTGTTTTGGGGTACTGCCTTTCTGTCTGCAGGCCCAATCACCCAGCCAGGCCTCTGGTTTATAAGCCCTGTCTCCCATGACATCCTTGTCCCTTTTGCCAGTAGATCAGGTTTCCTGACAAAGGAATTTCTTGCAATCCCTTACACCAAGGCATTCATCCCACATGTCTCCTAACATGCTCCACTGATCCTCTGAGAGTTTGGCTCACATTCTTGCTGAGTTTTTTCTTATGCCTTTTGCTCTTCTTGGGTGCCCCTCCTAACCTTCAAGGGTCACCCACCTGAAGTCCCAGAAGACTCTGAATTTCTTCAATTCAGTCATCTCACACAGTTCTGGGGCCCAGGGCTGGAAATGCCTCAGAAAACTCTGTTTCATTGCCAAGATAGGAACTAGGAAGGAAGAGAGTTGTGCAATGGTTCTTTTCTGGTCCTGAACCATCAGATTTTTTTCTCCAAATCTTGCCTGGAACAAGAGGCAAGATGTTGAAAACCCAGGTATGGTGGCACAGAGCTACATGGGAGGCTGATGCAGGAAGATCCCTTGGGCTCAGGAGTTTGAGATCAACCTGGGCCACATGACATGACCACATCTCAAAGAAGGAAGAAGGGAGAAGATGAAGGAGAGAGGAGGAAGAAAAAGGAGGAAGAAAGAAGAAAAGATATTGAAAGAAGTAGGATTGAAGAAAGACAGGCTGAGAGATTGCCAGATGAAAGGAGAGCCATCTAGATGGACTTTCTTCTTCTTCTTTTTCTTGTTTTTAGAGACAGAGTCTCACTTTATCACTCTTGGTAGAGTGTGGTGGCATCACAGCTCACAGCAACCTCCAACTCTCTTGCCTCAGCCTCTGGAGTAGCTGGGACTACAGGCGCCTACCAGAACACCTGGCTATTTTTTTGTTGCAGTTCAGCCAGGGCCAGGTTCGAACCCACCACTCTTGGTATATGCGCCTGGCGCCCTACCCAGTGAGCCACAGGTGCCGCCCTGGACTTTCTTCTTCTAACATCAATCTTTCTGGGTCATTTTGGGGATGGAATGAAAAATCTGTAACTTAAAACATCTTAATTTTTTTTTTTTTTTTTT